TATATATATATATATATATATATATATATATATATATATATATATACACACACGCACACACACTTACAATCCTTATTTTTAAAAAGATTTTTCATATACATTTTTTTGTTAAAATGTTTGTAATGTTATGATTCATTTTGTAGCTGTATAGTTTGGTTCAAGGCTTAGACCTCTTTATTGAAGCTTTATTTGAAATGCCTATGGAGCAAATGACTGGGAAATGGGAAAAAAATGCTGCTAAAAGGCACTATTGCACTCTAGTCTTTTCCTCTTACAGCTTCCTTCTTAAATGTTCTCTAATATCACACGCTGTGATTGGCTGCCTAACACTATTAATCATGTGTTTAATATGTAGTTGGATGGCCACAGCAGGTTCACGTTGCTAATTCCTTGCTGTCTGTCTCTTGTCCTCTGTTTGCACTCTCTTCTGTCATGCTGCTTGGTGTGTTTTTTCAGTGGAGAGGATGGAAATGGGTAAGACTGCAGGCAAAATTAGATGCATTCTTGATTCACTCGTCTCAACCTACCCCCCACGAGTTCCTCCCTCCTTCACCTCCTTTTCCACCTTCATTTGACATTGATTCATGTTGTCATGTAAAAGCATGAACTCGGCCCTTGGTGGTTAGAGACTGACGGGATGCAGTGCACAGTATAATGTCCATCCAATCATTCATCTGTCCACCTAATCTTCATAGGAGCAAGTCATGGGTCATTCTATAAATATTTATATATATTAATGTATATTTTATGAAACAAATCAAATGTTTTAGTGTTAATTGATTGTATTGTTCCATCTCAAGTTATAAAGATTTTTATTTTAATATATTATAGTATATTTGTATGTATACATTAATGCATCCAATTAATACATCAGTCTAATTTGACATTAGGTGCCTTTTTAATTATTTACTTTTACTATTTTGTCCACGTTTTTAGTGATTTACCATCTTACTGACTTTTTAATGGTAGCATATCTGTATTAAAATATCTGTATTACAGTAGCACATCATAAACATAGGCATCATTGTTTGCCGAAATGAACCTCTTTTGATGTAATGACCCTTAAAACAACTTTATTTCTCTCTCAGTGAGCACGTACACATCTATCTTCGGGGTGCTACAGTTGCTGTGTCTCATGACGGCTCCTGTGATTGGTTACGTCATGGACTGGAGGCTCAAAGAGTGCGAGGACGAAAATGAGAAACAAGTCGCAAAGTGAGTGTAACAATGAGCGTCCTGCTGCCTAATGCATCATTTTGACACTTACCACCAACCAGTCCAATCCGTAATTGTTATTTGATTACAAGTTTAATGTGCCATTGCATCTGTGTAATGTACTTATTATGGCTTTTCCTTCAGGGATCCTACTCAGCCAAAGAAACGTGACAGACAGATCCAGAAGATCAGCAATGCCACCCGCGCATTCATCTTCACTAATTTGCTGCTGGTTGGCTTTGGCATGACCTGCCTGGTGCCCGATCTTCATCTACAGGTAACTGAGAGCAAAACATCAGTCTCGTTGTCTGCAGGATGATGATAAAGTACCCAATGGGAGAGAAACTGGTGCAGAGCCACTCACATGTTACTGCAGCTGATGGATTGGGATGCAGTAGCACAACAGCGCCCCTCAGTGGCAGCACTAACTCTGACTTTATTTTAAAGCTAGCTACTAGTCATTATTTATGCATAACAAAACCTAGAGTTATTTTTGCTGTGGGGAAGAACTGAAGAGCCTTGGTTTCTATGTTTTCTCCTAGATTTTGTCCTTTGTGTTGCACACCATTGTGAGAGGCTTCATCCACTCTGCCGTTGGGGGCTTGTACGCAGCTGTGTAAGTATGGCTTTGTATTTTGGGTGTGGATTGGAGTTGCTTTTAATCATGATTAAAGAACAATGTTTTTTTTTTTTTATGAGTGCAGTTACCCGTCTTCTCAGTTTGGAAGTCTGACGGGAATGCAGTCCCTCATTAGCGCACTTTTTGCATTGTTGCAACAGCCTCTCTTCATGGCCATGATGGGTCCACTGGATGGAGATCCACTCTGGGTGAGCAGAAAGTCTGTTACTTATATTTAAAGCGATAATTAATTCACAAATGAAAATTCTGTCCTCATTTATTTACCTTCATTTTCTTTCATTCATGTAATAAAGGCCTGTTCACACCAAGAATGATAACTAAAAATAACGATAAAGATATAGTTCTGAAAATCCTTCTCAATATTAAAGAATAGGAGAGTCCACACCACAGCTATAACTGAAAAAAATGGACGATATAGTTATCTTTATAGTTATTACTCTTGGTGTGAACGGGCCTTAACACTGGCAAAAAATTCTTTTTTTCTCACAATTCTGAGTTTTTATATAGCAATTTAGATTTGTTTTTTCTGAATTCTGAGTTCACATATTGCAATTCTGTTGCCGCCATGGAATAAAACATAAAAAAAGGTCATTGCAAATTTAAACTCAATTCTCGCAATTGCAAGTTTACACCTCTCAATTTTGACTTTTCTTCTCAGAATTACGAGTTTATATCTCATCTGGCAATTCAGACTTTTTTTTTCTCAGAATTCTGAATTTAAATCTTGCTATTCTGAGTTCATATCGCACAAAGTCGACATAAAATGGAAAATGTACCTATTGTTTAACTGCATTTTACTGATCAGTTCACCCGTGTATATGTAAAGAAAAAAATCGAGCCCATAATTTTAAATCAAAACATCTTGACTCAATTTTCCAGTGAATTGTCAGACTTCTCTCTGGTGACGTATACCGGACTTCTCCAATCATTTTGTCCGCTTAAACTCCGCCCCTTCCTTACAATCAATTACAAGCTCGCATCCAGATCTGCCTCCATCTGCCTGTCTCCTTTTTCTTTTTTGATCATCTATTTTACTTCAAATTTGTGCTTGCTCATATCTAAGCGCTAATATCTTTCTGCTTAGGTTAACGTGGGGTTACTGGTCCTGAGCATGCTGGGATTCTGCCTGCCCAGTTATCTTCTGTGCTACGGCAGGCGGCTGCGCCGAGAGAAGCAGGAGCGCGAGGAAGACCCCAAGATCTACGTCCAGATCAAGAACGGCACAACCCCCGAGGCCTTTATCTAACTGCAATGCACAAATGACAGCAGCTAGCATAAAGAGCAGGAAGAAGGAGGGTGGGAAATAGAAGAAGAGAACTGAAAGTCACAAGAAGAGTGATAAACACCTCCCTGATCCCTCCTTCTGTCTGTCACACACATTCATGTATTCCCAACAGGCACATAACACTCAAACAGGCACAAAATACAGCCAAAGCAACCGAGAGTCTCACAACGTGCCACGCAAACACACATTTACACACAAAGGACTGAATGGACACTGTGAAAGGCAGGTCTAGAAAAAAAAAGATGCCCTTGTCCTTGAAACAGACAAGGACTTCTAGACTTTATATCCTGCCTGACAAGAAAGAAGAGAAAGGCCCTCTTTTCTCACGATTTTACCTTTTGAATTTCAGACCACGACGATACAAAAGACGAAGCAGATTCAGTGAAATTCTCTCAGGTCTGAGGAAGCCTGATGACGAGAGTATTACTACGTCACTAGTGTTCAACTTTGTTGCCAAGCTTGTTTCAAACAGTTTCTGCAACTAAAAACCCATTTGTGAACTGATTTGAAATCACTATGAACACTTTACATTGCTCTCAGCTCATAAAGCTGCTGAAAAGCGAGACGAGAACCCTCCATTGCGGTTTGAATATGACAAACTGACTAACTACCTTAAAGCAGAACGACTCTGCTTGTTATCTGTCCCATATGTGTTTTCAATGGAAGTGGGCAGATTTTAGATTTTAATCTCATACAGTATACAGTACCAGCATGCTTTGGACAGCACGAGCATGAAACTACAGCTTTGTCTGAACTGGGTTGATTTTAAAGGACTTTTGGACCATGGCACCTGAGACTAATGTAACCTAAACACAATTTTAGTACGAGACTTGTACTATTATTTGCTTTGGCATGCAGATTCAGTACATCTACGTGCAAGATAATGCATTTTGTACATATCAGTCCATTCAGAAGGTTGTAGAAGCCATGTGGGTCTAAAAGGTTTGGATTAAGGCAGTATTTTGGGGATTAGCCTCACATTTCGATCAAGACTGACGATCTTCACCAGCAATACTCGTACCGTTCCCTATACCACTTCCCCATTCAGTACTACTGGTTGAGCTTCACTTGTTAGTGTTTATTTCCTTGTATTGACTCAAACAATTATTCAGGGTGTTTGACTTTTAGAGTAATAATTCATATCAGATGTATTCACCTGCAATATGATCCCTTCAAGCTTTGCTTTGCCACTTGTGCGTTGAGGGGTATAAAAAGACAGTGTACTCTTGGTAAAGAGATTAGATGCCATTATCGTATATATACATATATATCTTGCACTACAGGGTTTATAATTACAGAGGTGCTTACATTAGCCATTACGGAGTATATGCGTTCTGTTCCAACCTCATACATACATGGAAACCACGTTAGCCATACACGTTACAAGATTTTTGTGCGTTTTCTTGATTTCTGGGTTGGCTACCATTTAACTACGGTGCTTACTAGAATAGAAAAGCAACAAGATTTCTATGTTGGTCAAGATACAGAAGCCGAATACAGAATTTAGTTGGCTACTCAACCTTGTGGTGATAAGGACTTGAATTGAATTCATAGCGATTAAAAAAGGGAGACTTTTGAGACATGCTTGACGACAATCCCTTTGGAAAACCCATATATTTGTAGCTTATAATGGGTTTCAGGCCAGTATTGTGCCCTATGAAAGATCAAATGTGGTAACTACATAAAATTGAGTCTTTTAGACTGATATGTCACATGACAGATGGGTATTTTCAGAAAATAGTGTAAACAATTATGTAAAATCAATCAAATATCTTGCAACCATTTTTCTCGATTCCAGTGTTGTAGTTAATGTGTTTTGCGTAAATCACTGAACATTTCTCAGCAAAACATTGATTTGAAAGATGGTAGGGTTAGGGTTAAGTCACAACCTCACTTACTTTAACAGTATTTTCATTGTAAACTTATCTGAAATTATGTTTGTATGAAATCCTAGATGAGTAAATATCTTCTCAACAGTGGCCATAAATGTAACCTTATTTTATGACCCCTCTGAAGAGGAACAGGTCAGATCCACCTAGCAACATCCACTTATTGTCTGTCACACTTTTTTGGAATATTTTGTCAGAGCTGAGGCTAGACGCGAGTCCTGGATGGACTGCATTTGCTGGCTTGAACATGACTGGATATTGCAAGTGAATTCCAATCTAAAGCAGTACTGTACTAAGCATAATGAATGTGAGAGCGAACCCATTTTGCTCTCAGAATGAGAGAAGTAGCACTTTTTCTCACTGCCATACCTTAAATTTTCATTCTTTTCTCAAGTAACAATCACATTTAATTTTAATTTTAAATGGTGATTTATTATACCCCATTGTACTTGTATGAGTGTGGAAAATGCCCATACACAGTATAGGGAAGAAAAGTGGGAAAGATCAGCTTTAACACCAATACTTTCACTCTGTATTGTATTTTTAGTGTAATTTGTTGATTATTTGGTTGATTTTTCTACACTGTAGTTTTCTTTTTTTATGTGTATGTGTACATATTTTTTTTCTTTTTGTGGGCATTTTACTGTACTTTAGCTTTTGGTTTTCTTCATTCTATCACTATATAGCAACTTTTTGAATAAATGTCCCAACAAAATATCAGATATGTGAAATTAAATAAAAACAGATTAATTTGTATGAAATGTTTGTTTTTGCATTTTTTCTGGTAATGCATAAACCAACATAAAAATCTTAAAGGGGTCATATGATGTTGCTAAAAAAAACATTATTTTGTGTATTTGATGTAATGAAATGGGTTTATGCGGTTTAAGGTTAAAAAACATTTCCACATACTGTACATTATTGTTTCTCCTCTATGCCCCGCCTTTCTGAAACACATCGATTTTTACAAAGCTCATCGGTCTGAAAAGCGAGGTGTGCTGTGATTGGCCAGCTATCCAGTGCATTGTGATTGGCCGAATACCTCAAGCGTGTGACGGAAATGTTACGCTCCTACCATATTGTGATGATGCCCTGTCTGTCAGGAGCGATGATTCAAAAACATGAAAACCCATTATAAACGAGGCATTCGTTGCATCCAGTGGGGACATAATTATGGATTATAATGATTTATACTGTCTTTTTACGTTTTGCATTGCATCACGCCGTGTAAACATAAAACCATGTCAGCATTTGTGATCGGAGAAATGACAATCAACAAGCCCTACTCTACACTGCCCAAAAAAACTCGCTTTAAATATATAAAATATAAAAATTCTTTAAATATAAAAAACATACTTACAGTCTTTGAGTCCGAACAGCCGGCATTGTAGTCTACTCTCCCAGGATCAGAAAACGGTCCTCCATAAAATGTGCTGCACACATCTGGATATTTGGGTTGAAGTGTTCTGGAACAGTGTTGTAAATACAACTTAACCTTGATTTCTAGTCGTGTCCTCTTTTGGAAGACCAAACAGCTTTCACAACGAAACACAGTGTCACACACAGCAGCCTAGAGTGAGCAGAGGCCGGCTTGAGTGAGCGGCGGCCGGTGGGCTTAAGAACGGTGCGGCGGGTGGGCTTGCGTCAACAACATGTGACGACCCCGGGCTGGACTCCGCTTCGTTCACAGTGAAAGCCGATCCGGTGATCCACAGCGCTTTCACAACGAAACACACAGCGTCTTCACGACATGGCGGCGGCAACAACAATACTACAGCAAGAATAAAAGTTACGCCTTCTTTTTTTGCATGAACATTTGGGCGGCGTTATGCAAATCTTCCCACATTGTGAGGTAGACATGTGGGGGCGTGTTAGAACGAGCCGTTTTAGGTAGGTCTGGCTGACTCTTAACTTTGATAAAGAATATCTCTTTGGATTTGAGACTTTAGTCTTTGCAACTTTACAGATCTTCTTTATGCACCAAGAGCTTGTAACACTCCAAAGAGAAAGGAAAAATTTTAATCCCATCCTATGACCCCTTTAAGATTATGAACTGCTTTTGAAGATCAGCAAATAGTACAGTAGATGGCAGTGTGAGTTCATCTGAAGATTTTCTGAGAATTCATCTGCAGTTTCATTAAGTGTTGGAAGATTGGCCAACTTTTTGCGCTGTTACCTTTTATTCAATACATTTAATATACTTATGTTGTAATTTAAACGTATTTAAAAGGTATTTCTATAAAATGACACCAGACTGTCAGAAAATGAAGAGGAAGGAACCAACTTGAGGGTGTATACTGAATATATAATATAATGTTGTTCAAGGGTGAAATATTTCAAACTGAGAGAGAGAGAGAGAGAGAGAGAGAGAGAGAGAGAGAGAGAGAGAGAGAGAGAAAAAAAAAAAG